CATTTCTATCAGTATTTCGCTGTGTTGTGGTTGACATGATGACTGTTAGGAGTTAAGGGGAGAGGCTGAGCATCACCATGAAATGTGCAAATTGACATAAAAATGAATATAAGGGGGAAAAATGCTCCATGTTTTTTAGGCTGTAAACTTGAACTGTTAGCTAAGCCAACTAGACAGACAGTGTATCACTCTTCCTCCTGTACATCAGCAGATCAAAGGCATCACATACTTGAATGAATGGTAAATAAAGAATGCTGGAAATAACTGCATCTCCATTAGCCTACATGCTATGCAGAGTCTGCCTTCTTCATGTCATGAAATGCAGCTGATGTTTTAATATGGCAATTGGCCATTTGACTTATACAACATTCGCAAGTTGTACATTTGACTCATACAATAACCCACCTTCGAGTGATGCTCTAGTTTCTTCATGTTTCGTTTTTTTCCCCTCTTGCTTGCGCCGGACTGAAACTGTCTTTTCACCGACATCTCTTCACCTGCACTAGTGGCCGTATGAAAGCCGTGATTTGTCAGATGTCGATTCATTGCAACGGTGTCGGGTTACAGACGTGCTCCCCTTGTCACCTCTCACTCTCGCGTGTCAGCCGGGGGTGCGCGGAGAACTGAGCGGAGAACTGCGCACAGCAGCTGAGGCCCTCTGGGCGGGGCCCCCTGCGCAAGGCGGGGCCCCATGCAGCCTGCGTGATTGGCCTGTAGGGAGGGGCGGCCCTGAGTATTCTTCATTGAAATATCGCACTTATCTTATGGCTCTGCGGTTCAAACAGACCGTCCATGAATGCAGTTTATTCGGTAAGTGAAATTCAAGCACTTTATTTCTTACTTGTCTTTTTATTCAGCTAACGAGCGAGACGAAGCTACATCTGTGCTAACGATGCTATCTGTAGCATACAAGTTAAAACATAATAGAGAAGTGTAAAACATTAAGAAGGATTATACTGTAGAACAAAAGGCTTCTCTGTGAGGTTGGTAAAATAAGGTCATGCTTGTACATTAGTTAGTTTGCTAGTTAGGTAACTATGCATTCTTATTGTTAATTTAAAATAGCTATGCTCGACGATGCAGACAGCTAGCGTCACATTCGAAGAGCAGAGTACTGTATGAGATTAACCTCACTATAAGATCTGTGTATCTTAACAATATGAATCTCACATTTCCAGTTGGCTCCAGAAATAACGTTAACGTAGAGATTGCAATATGGTTTGTTGAACTGGAGTTGATTATTGAAGCTTACTGGTGCGGCTCGTCTGGTCTTCAACCTTCCTAAATTTTCCCACACCACTCCGCTCCTCCGCTCCCTTCACTGGCTTCCGGTAACTGCTAGAATCCACTTCAAGACACTGGTACTTGCTTAGCATGCTGCGAATGGATCTGGCCCTTCCTACATCCAGGACATGGTTAAACCGTACACCCCAGCGCGTGCACTACGCTCTGCATCAGCCAAACGACTCGCTGCGCCCTCGCTGCGAGGGGGACCCAAGTTCCCATCGGCAAAAACACGTGGGTTTGCTGTCCTGGCTCCAAGATGGTGGAATGAGCTCCCCATTGACATCAGGACGGCAGATAGCTTGCACATCTTCCGGCGCAAACTGAAAACTCATCTCTTTCGACTCCACTTCGAGCGTTAGAACTATTAACGAAGCACTTTTATACTAATAAAGGACTGGCTTACCTAAAGCCAGTTGAGTAGCACTTGAAATGTTTGGCTCTATGAAACCTGATGTACTTTGATGTACTAATTCTGTTTTCTTCAAGGTTGTGTCTTCCTGGTCGAATGTACTTATTGTAAGTCGCTTTGGACAAAAGCGTCAGCTAAATGCAATGTAATGTAATGTGTTGTGGATGGAACACAACAAATGGTGCTCTTACCTGTGATGCCTCCTCCAAACATTATAACCAGACTGTATCATTCAAACTATATAAGTAACAGTTCTAGCTACTTGACTTTAGACAAAATCAACACAATTTATTGAAAGACCAATCTTTATTTTACGGTGCCTCTCCTTTTGTTTGTATTATTAAACCCTGTCAATCTAAAAAACTGAGCAACTCAACAGTTAACTTTATATTTCTTATTGTCCAAAGCATCTATTACACTATTTTTCCCCTCTCATATTCACAGGATGGACGATTAGAGACTTTGGGGGAAACCTCAGCTTTATGAACGTCCTGTCTGTTGGTTTGGCCAGAGAGGGCTGAGGGTCTTTCCCTGCGAGGAGGACCAGGCCTGAGGGAGGAGGACCTGCACCAGCTGCACCTACAGAACTTAGCCCATGCTGGGCATAGCTGTTACCACATGCACAGGCCTAGCCTGTCACTTTATTTGACAAAATGTGTTTACTTCATCAATTAACAGATTAACATTTAGTGTAACTTGTGTATATTATTTCGTTTTTATAAAAAAAAAAAATGGTGATGGTTCATGCTTGATAACTTTGAGTTCACATTTCAATAAATTGTATTTGCACTCCTTTTGTCCTTTATTCTTACTGCAAATGTTAAATTACACATTCACATCTGACTGAAGATTGGCACCATTTATTTGTGACGTTGCAAACTCTGCGGTACAAGGCACAAGTATTGTGAGGCTCATAAAGTGAGGCAAATGCATTTGATCAGCTGACTTTTTTTTTTGCCAAACTTTATAGGCCTGACCAGAGGTCGCGTTAACCGAATATTTTCCGCCTATGACGGATTTTTTTTAACATTGACGGAAAAATCTGAAAGCAGTCCGTCATTTTGACGGATTAGAAAAAACTCGGAACAGCGCCAAAGTTTCCCCGCAGCGAGGTTCCGGTGTTAAGCATGCCTGCCAAAAATAAAATGATACCGTTTCCAAACCCAACTTTGCCCATTGAAATGTCTGAGTTTTGGCTTTACGCTGTGCGCACTCCCGCGAGGTGCAGTGGGCATGCATAACACGGCGCTAACAGTTCACAAGCGTGCGCCCCGCCCCCCGTTGACAGTTCACGACTGTGCTCTCCCCCCCACACCCCCGTTGACAGTTCACGACGTGCTGCCCCCCCCCCCAGAGTGTAAAGGCCGACGGGTAATACTGAATTTTGACGGACATTTTACGATCCTGTCCGTCAAAATGTGAAAAAGTCTAGCGCAACCTCTGGTTCTTTGGCCTGACAATAATCACACTGTGTCTGAGGTGCATTGTAAAACACAGAACAACACAACAATTAAGTTCCTGTTAGACTACAAAACTAGTCAGTGTGCAGGCCTTTGTGTGGGCCCTTTCTCATTTCATCAAATCCCCCTCCTCGACTCCTCGGTCCTCCGGTAGTGACCCGGAAATGAATTTCAGCGTGCCCTGTTGAAGGACATCTAATTTCTCTAAATGCACTTCGAGGATCGAGCGTCGAGGAGGCTCTCTGGAGGAGCTCTAACTGAGGATACACTGATGGGTCCTCCACGGCTCCTTCGTGGATGCATTTCCGTGAACAGAGATGTTTCAAAGAGTCGTGACGCACGGCCGGACTTATCTCAGCCAATGACAGTTCTGCATGCATCCCCTGGATATTATTTTAGTAACGGCTTTCATCGCGTTGCGATGTTTCCAGAGAGAACAGCTGTGAGGTCCGTGCAGAAAGCAGAGCAGTGTGTATAATATATATCACTCAGTATAACAGGCCTACTCTCTTTATTTGCTTTAGTTTTGTAGATATCTACAAACAAAGAGTCGATATTTTTCTAAAACCATTTAGTGCTTCACATAATAAAATACACAACGGCTGTAGCCCGATTATATGCTTTAGGAGCTGTAGGTGTCTGTTGTACAGTGTGTAGGTGTGGTACAGTGTGTAGCTGTGTATGGTGTACAGTGTGTGCGTAGATACAGCGGACAGACAGGTCTCAGTTGGTTTGGTGTCCTCTGCTTACTTTTAATACTTGTAAATAAAACCTTTCGCCCGTAATTTATTTTCCTCATTGTAGCGACCAGAAAGGGGGGGGGGGGGAGGGGAGGGGGAGACTATATCCAGTCTCTGATAGTGTTACGTTATTATGAGAGTGCTCTGTTTGATTCTGAAATTGTATATATATATATATAGGCTATATATATATGTGTGTGTGTGTGTCCGCATCTGTAGCCTGTTATTGTCTCATGATACCGCACTGTGAATGAATTAAAAGTAAATATATAAGTGGTCATGAACACATCTGTCCATCAGACAGAGGGCTGCTGTGCCTCCTGTCATCATTTATGGACGTCTCTTTAAAATGACCGCTCACAGGAGAGGAGTTCTCATTTCTCTAACCGCCTGCTGCTTCCCCTCCTCTCTCCTCGGTTCCCCTCCTTGGCTCCTCCGCTCGCATCTCCTGTGGGCGGGACTAAGTATCGAGGATAGGAGTTGAGGAGGGGAGTTAGAGAAATGAGAAAGGGCCTAAGTGTCTTCTGTCCTGTACTGCTCTTAAATCTCATAACATCAGCTTTTCCTTTCCCTCTTGGATGTTCTTCTGGACCCTCAGAGAAAGAGAAAATGGTGAAGCAGTCCTGTCTCTCAGGCATGTCCTTTCCTAACAGAAATATCAAAAAACATATTATTGCAGAGCAAGTGTGTTATTTAAGATAGAGGTGTGTTTGTTTGTTAAAATAATATTTAGCTGTTATCATAACTTAGTGCAACTGTAGAAGAACTGAAAGAATCACTGTTAATGTTTTTTTATAGTCAGTATGCAGAGACAAAGGGTCGCAGTTCTCACTATGTTCAATAATATTTGCCTTAAATACATTGAAATGTGAAAGTTGAACAAAAAAGTTATGTTACTTGGTAAAATGTAAATGTAACCTTTTGCTAAGAAAGTACACTCAACATCACTGATGTGTAGGTGATCTAGTATTTAGTCATGTTTAATGGCATGTATATTTGAGTCATTACTTTATGCATTCTTTGTAAAGTATGAAAAAGGTGTACCTTGGAATCCGTGCTGAAGTTCTCTGTTGTTAGGAGTCCAGATCTGTCTCTCCTCCTCTGGTCCAGCCTGTCTGGATCACCTAAAGGACACTTTGAACAAACAGATGTAAAGTCATAATCTTATTGTTATACTTAATAAATTGCTGGATATCACAGTCCTTATACTGTATCAGTTTGAGTATTATTGTGTAGGTCCTTTTTATTTTACTGTTACTTTGGATGAGTTTTTCATGAGTCAGTCAAATTAATTTGTTTTCATATGCCATATTCATATGTATCACACACGTAAGGGTAAGACACAAACCTATTGAACAAATGCAATGGATAAGCTTAATTTTCACTGAAGTCACGGATAACGTCATACTGTATCTAATATTTAAACAAATCATTTCCTTGATTCCTATTCATCGTCCTTAAATGCAGGCATTAAGTTACATGTTCCGTTCTACAGCAACCAACACAACAAACACGGCCGAGTTCAAGTAGTGTTCTTCTCATGAGCTGAGCCCCTGTAGCATCACGGAGCTAACGGAGCTAGCAGTGAGACAGAGGAGCTAGGAGCAGTAGTCCCGTTGTCATGAAGGGGGAATCTAACTATATACAGAATATGTTTTTGTGGATCCAGGCTAGAAACATGTTCATTTTCTGATGTTAAGTTGGACATTTTAACAAAGGGTCTACGGGAATTGCTCCCATCTGCATCCATCGCCTACAGTTTGCAGCATTGGGCTTCACCGCACTATCCCGGGGTTCACCGCTTGGCTCTGATAGGCCAGAAGTCGGTTTGATTGCATTCGGGCTCGATTGCTTATCTTGTCTGAGTAGCCCGGATGATGCTGCATCGCAATTTTTGACGTCGAATTTTATACACCGAATTTTTTGACATCGAATTTTAAACACCGAAATATTTGACGTCAAATTTTTTTCACTAGAATTTTTGGGATCTGAATTTGAACATTCACATTTTTTTAACTTGAATTTTTACATTTTTATTTCACATAGGTAAATTCGGAGCAAAAAAATTCAGATACATGATTTTCAAAGTAATTATTTTCAATGCTATAAATTCGGTGTCTGATCAAATTCAAATACTTCTGTCTCTTGTTTGCTTCCATAGTGATTATCTTTGTAGTACAAAGTGATGAATTTAGAAAACACATAAAAAAAACAAAAAAAAAAAACATTATTTCTACAGCCGCTAAATAAACAAACCTCTTTCATAAATAACACACTTACTCTGCAATAATGTCATAGGTTTTATGTTTCTTGTCATTTCTGTTAGGAAAGGACATACCTGAAGGACACAACTGCCTCACCGTTTTCTCAGAGGGGCAAGAAGAAAATGAAAAGCTGATTTCAGATTAAAGACCAATACAGGACATTCACTAAGAAACTACTCTTTTATTGTGAACACAAAGTCAAACAGGACCATCATTTGTTTGTGACAGCTGTGCCCAGCAGGGACGTGCACAGGTACGGGCTAATATTGCCCGGGCAACAGCCCGTTTGCCATTTTTGTCTGACCTGCCCCTCTGGAGAGAGTGAGAGGTTTTTTTTTCTTTTCATGATAGGCCTAAGCCCACAATTAGTATTGTAGCGTCTCGCTGCAGGAAACACACCGGAAGTCAGCGCTGTCATCTGCCCCCAGTAACGTGACTTTGTTTACAATCTGACGGCTGGAAGCAAAGGAAAGCCCTCCGAGTCCGGCCTCATATGCTATGGTGATCATACCAAATGCCCGCCTGGCTTTGGTGGCCAATCCCCGGGTCAATCTGTCCCCGTTTTTAAATATGCTTTTACCTTTTTCACCTCTAGTGTCAGATTTTGGAAAATTGATTTTGAGTTTTCTCATGGCAGCAGTGGCGATTCTACGGGGTGGCACAGGGTGGCAGCTGCCACCTCAGAAAAATGCCTTGCCACCCCAGCTGCCACCCCAGTTGGCAGCTTTGTTTTGAAAGAAAAGTTGTGGCTCATCGGACATTTATGAGAGAATATCTAATGTCCGAGTGCAAGTTAATGCAGCACAAGACGCGAGCCTTGTAACCCCTCCCCCGGCCCTGGCGCGAGCATGGAAATATGATTGGCGGCGATTTCATTTTCATCAACGGGGGGACAGCGCAATACGAGAAGCATTTCGGATCCAAGTAGACGGAAGGAATGAGGTATTTGCGGTCTACAATGACAGAGAAGAGCCTGTCAAGTTTGGCTGCAAGGCAAGTTTATTTATATAGCACTGTTCTGTACGCGACAATTCAAAGTGCTTTACAAAACAAATTAAAATACTTTTTAGGAATACATACAGTAAAAACACATAATGGCATTTTAAAACAGGCATTACAAAGCAAAGATAATAAAAATAAACACAACAGGTATACAATACATGTTTAAAAGGCATACTGTAGTGCGAATATGAGCAGCTCAATTAAAAGCAGCCAAAGATATATGTTTTTAGTCTCGATTTAAAAATAGCAAGCGTTTCTGCGGACCTACATGATTTGGGTAGTTTGTTCCAGATTATCGGGGCATAACAGCTAAATGCTGCCTCTCCAGGTTTTGTTTTTACTCTCAGAGGGAACAGATAGCAGACCCGTCCCAGAAGACCTGAGGCACCTTGATGGCTCGTAATTCAACAATATACTTTGCTTCTAAACCATGTAATGATTTAAAAACTAGCAATAGTACTTCAAAATCAATTATTTGGCCGACTGGAAGCCAGTGTAAAGACTTCAGAACCGGACTGATGTGATCCACTCTTTTAATGTTAGTGAGGACTCGAGCAGCAGCGTTCTGAATCAGCTGCAGCTTTCTGATGTTTTTTTTTTGTCAGCCCTGTGAATACACTATTGCAGTAGTCGAGTCTACTAAATAGTGCTGGGGGGAAACGATTATTTTGAAAACGATTAATCGGGCGATTATTTTATCAATTAGTCGACTAATCTAACGATTATTTTTCTGTTGTTCGATTAATAAAAAACATAATGTATCTCAAATAAATACCAAAACATTCTTAATAATATAGTTTTTTTTTTTTATTGCACAGCAAAATAAGAAATATAGAATAAAAGTATACAAAAATAAAAAGGCCAGCCTGTTTAGTCTTACAGTCCAACAAAAAATCTCTTCTGTACAAAAGATAAAAAATGTAGTGCAAAAACTATGGGCATAGATATGTCTCATAATTATTTGTGTGAACATACAAATAATTTGTGTGTAAATATGTGATTTGTAAATGTAAAACATCCACAAATGCATTTAAAAGATTAGCAAACTCACAAATACATTTGCAAGTGTAAAACGGATCTGCAAATACGTTAAATATGTTCACAAATTAAAAAAAGATCTGTGAATATCTCTTTAACATTTACACCTTTCGATCAGGCATTTGTGAATCCATTTTGTATTTGTCGACCAAAAATGCGCTTGCGGATCTCAAATCTCTGTTCACGGATCTCAAATCTCTGTTCACGGATCTCAAATATCTGTTCGCGGATCGTCATTTTACACACACGGAATTTTGAGACATATTTTCCGCCGGTCTCGGCTAAAATCTACTCGTGTCACTCGGTTATTTTCGGAAACCACGTGATGGCCTGCTGATGACGACATTTCCGCATGATTTCAAAGTAAGAGCATGATGGTTTGTTTAATGCTCTGTTTTTGTATTATAATGAACAGCGGAACGTTAGATGCATTCTTCATCACCATAACCCTGACCTAAATACGGTGCTTTTCTACAGATTACTTTATTACTGCACTGGTAAGGTAAAATTAGGCCGATTAATAAGATGTGAAGTGCTTTGTAACTTCGACCCGCTTGACTGAATACACAACAAACAATGAAGAAAGAGTTTTATCTGGGCTGTTTCGCTGCCAGCTGCTCCCCCGGGACCCGAAAGTGGCGTATAGCCTGCACTTCAACATCAACGAAAGTGCTCGATATATGCTATATTGAACCAATAACACAAACTAACTGTATCACTATAACATGATGATGATGGTGATGAAGAATGCATCTAACGTTCCGCTGTTCATTATAATACAAAAACAGAGCATTAAACAAACCATCATGCTCTTACTTTGAAATCATGCGGAAATGTCATTTTAGCCGAGACCGGCGGAAAATATGTCTCAAAATTCCGTGTGTAAAAAGACGATCCGCGAACAGAGATTTGAGATCCGTGAACAGAGATTTGAGATCCGCAAGCGCATTTTTGGTCCACAAATACAAAATGGATTCACAAATGCCTGATCGAAAGGTGTAAATGTTAAAGAGATATTCACAGATCTTTTTTAATTTGTGAACATATTTAGCGTATTTGCAGATCCGTTTTACACTTGCAAATGTATTTGTGAGTTTGCAAATCTTTTAAATGCATTTGTGGATGTTGTTTTACATTTACAAATCACATATTTACACACAAATTATTTTTATGTTCACACAAATAATTATGAGACATATCTATGCCCATAGACACGGCTGTACCGTGCACAGTACATACATTCCTCAGTGTTTAACACAATATAACAGTCCCAACACAGGACCTCTTCTTTAAGTTTCCCTTCAGATTGTCAAGGACACGTTGGTATGCTTTCTCCAGCTGCTTGGTAAACCACCACCTGGAGGGACATTTGAAGCCTGGGCAGGCATATTCAATCATATCTATGAAGGCTTCACCCTCAACGAGAGACAAAGGCCTCATGTCTTATGTTGTTGTTGTTATTAATAATAATATATTTGTTTTATCTTACAGGTGATCGTCAAAGACCTTTCATAGAGCCATGTTGCTTACAGTGTAAGAAGCTTAATTATTACACAATCCAAACAAGGACACAAATAAAAAGACCAAGTGAAGAAACACCTATAAACTAGCTAATAAATCAGGACACAATAAATGGGATCAGGACAGCCATTCCCTCCTAAAAGATGCTCAAAGGAAGCAAATAATTACTTACTCTCAAGATTCTTTTGCTGAGTTCGGCTGCCTTCTGTGGAGTGCATTGCGCCTCTTTCCCAAGATAGGACGGCAAGGTTCTTTGCTTTGTCCTAGAAAACACAACAGCAATGAACAATGGAACAACAGCTATGACAGTGGGGCATATTAAATCTACTCTTAAAACTCATTGCAGTGCTATGGTATAATTAGCTTACTTGAAGGCTAACGTGGTTACTTTTTAAACAATGTTATGTCCAACAATGCATTTCATGTTTATCTAAAAGCTTGTAGAGTACTATATCTACACAGTGAAAATGTTTGGTAGTGCAACTCATATGAGCCCTATCAAACTTGGATGTGCTGGTGCTCATTTTAATGTTTTCAATGCTCATAAAAACATTAATTAATTCATGACAACTGCGCACCAGCTTACGTGCAGCCCTGGCCTGGACATTGCTTGGCTCCGTTAGTTGACATACATTGATACTATAAGCTGACTAACGTTAGTGTAATGTTATGTTTGACTCGTAAACGACCACAACATGAGTTAGCTCTCTGTGCAGTTTGTTCGTTCCGGGTTAGTAGCGGCTAGCTAGTGGTGTTCTGCAGACGTAAACTAGCTACCATTCCAGCCAACATTAAATGCTGACAAATGTTAACTAACACACAGCTGGCGCCGCTAGCTAGGTAGCCAACATTAACTACTAACCAACCAAGCACGGAGAGCTATAAGATAGTTAGCACTACCAAAGTGCACAGAACTCAAGCTGCACAACACACTACACAAACGTGGAATTAATTTAGCCAAAGTTAGTACTTACTTATCATTGTTCCCTCCACGAGAGACAAGGGGGTGCCTCCGCTTTAAATGCTCCAACATCGAGGAAATATGTTGTCAACGATATTTTGAAGTCGACGCGTCGCTACAGCACTACGTGGCCCCACGCACGAACACAGGCATACTCTTGATCTTGTCCTGTCTTATGGTCTATCAATATGTAATGTTGAGATATGCGACCCAATTTTCTCCGATCACATGCCTGTTCTATTTGACGTCACTATCCCTTGTGTTGTTGGTAAACAGTGTCCACAGTCTGCTCATTTTCGTCGCATGCTTAAACCCTCCACCGCTGTTCAGTTTTCTGCTGCCTTCAAAAATGTTGTGGATAATAGAGCATATCCTATTACTGGTGATACAGAGGGGTTACTTTCTTTAACTCTTGTCAAGAGTCAAGACATCCTTGATACTATTGCTCCACTAAAAGCTGTTCGCCCTAAAGTTAAGTCTGAACCATGGTTAACTGAGTCCACTCGTACTGCCAGACAGGAGTACAGAAGGGCTGAACGCAAATGGAAAAAAGACAGGCTGCATGTGTCTTATGATATTTTAAAGGGCTCCTGGTGTAGATATCAGAAAGTTGTTAAAGCGGAAAAAACGCAGTATTTTTCAGATGTTATACGTAATAACTGTCATAAACCCTGTGTCCTTTTTAGCACTATAAACTGTATACTAAATGTCCCACAATCCATCAACTTAGTAACCTGCACTGAAACCTGTGAGGCGTTTCTACAGTTTTCCATTGACAAGGTCGCCGCCATCAGAGCAAACATCTCACTTCCTTCCCATGATCCATCTGTCACTTGCTCAGCTGTTATGGATCAGTTTGAGCTTGTGTCACTTCCTGCTCTAAAAGAAATTGTTGCTCAATTGAAACCCTCGGGTTCTCCAAGCGATGTTGTCCCTGCGCGATTTTTTAAAGAAATCTGGGACATTGTTGGACTTAACGTTCTTAATATAATTAACAGCAGCCTGACTACAGGAATAGTACCAAAGTGCCTACAACATGCTGTGGTCCAGCCTTTGATTAAAAAAACCAAACCTGGACACCTGTTTTTGACAATTTTCAACCTATCTCTAAACTTCCTTTTATGTCCAACATTTTAGAAAAAGTGGTACTGAAGCAGTTGCAGTCTTTCTTAAATGTGCATGGCATTCTTGAGGTATTCCAGTCTGGGTTTAAACCCCTACACAGCACTGAATCTGCTCTTTTAAAAGTGTTTAATGACCTGTTTTTAGCTACTGACTCTGGGAACAGTGCTGTTCTTATACTTTTAGACCTGACAGCTGCCTTTGACACTGTAGATTACAGTATTCTCATTTCTCGCCTGCAACATTTTGTGGGAATCAGTGGTACTGCTCTAGACTGGTGTAAGTCGTATCTGTCTGAAAGAAGTTTTAATGTAAATCTTAATGAATGTATTTCCTCCTCTGCTCCTCTCCCGTATGGGGTACCCCAAGGCTCCATTCTTGGGCCGATTTTATTTCCCCTGTACCTGCTCCCCCTGGGCGCCATCATTAAAAAATATGGTGTCTCATTTCATTTTTATGCAGATGACTCGCAAATCTACATGCCCCTGAAAATAAATGACCCAAACCCTCAGCAACGTCTGTCTGACTGTCTGCAGGACATCAGAGCCTGGATGGCCTTGAATTTTTTTTAATTCAATGAAAAAAAGACTGAGGTGATAATATTTGGAACCAGTGGTGGCCTGTGCTGGATTCTCTTGTCCCATATGTGAAACCCATTGTCACAAACCTGGGTGTACGGATTGATCGTGATTTTAAACTAGACAAACAGATCAACTCTGTGGTAAAATCCAGCTTCTTTCAGCTAAGACTTTTAGCAAAGGTCAAGCCTTTCCTTTCTTTTAATGACTTTGAGAAAGTAATACATTGTTTTCTATCCACTAAACTGGATTACTGCAATGCTCTGTATATTGGAGTAACCAAGGCTTCCCTGTCTCGCCTACAGCTGGTCCAGAATGCTACTGCGCGCCTCCTTACAAGGACAGGCAGGCATGAACATTTTACGCCTGTACTCGCCTCGTTACACTGGCTACCAGTCTGTTTTAGAATCCAATTTAAAATGTCACTGTTCGCATACAAGGCCCTAAATGGTTTAGCCCCACCGTATACCTGGCAGATCTTTTAAAACCATACACACCCACACGGTCACTGAGGTCTGCTGACAGACTCCTTCTGGTAGTCCCAAAATCGAGGTTAAAGCAGCGAGGAGACAGAGCCTTTGCTGTTGCAGCTCCAAAGTTATGGAACAAATTACCCCTCCAGGTTAGACTTGCTCCAACTCTGCCTGTTTTTAAATCTCGTTTAAAAACCCACTTCTTTTCCCTGGCTTTTACAGACCAGGTATGACACTTTCCTCTTGCCACTATAGAGCGGGGTTGACGACACGCAATCCAAAACAATAAGCAGCCGAAGGTTTTAGTAAAAAAAATGTAATTTATTAACAAAGTATTGACTTAAAGTCTCAAAATAACAAATCTTAAACAATATTTCGGCGATATACTTTCCTATATAAACTAAACTATACTTTGTTTGCAGTCCAATTTGCAACACCAATCTTGCGTTCGAAAAACTGTTCCGCTCCCCGTCTCATCAGGTCTCCGAGCACGCCGGCTGTCCTCAATTACCTCACTTAAATACACACCGGAAGGTACACGGAAACAGATCATATTTACGACATAAAATAAACAATCACTTCATCAAAACATATTCACCACGGCAACACCTTCACCCCTCCATCACTAAATCATTTATCAAATTATGAATCGAAATAATAACTTTGTGGCTCTAACATACCGGCCCCTAATTGTTGACGCAGTAGCAAAACAATTAGTACATTATAATGACACCTTGTGTTCAATCAACTGCTTCCAGAAGCAGACAGAGCTTGTCAATTGGTCGCTGTAAGGTGCTACTCTTGGTTTTCACCAGACACTTCGGACAAGCCCTTTCGACCCTGACAATGTCCCGGCCCATTTGCCAGGAATTTCTTGGTGCTGTGTTATCCACGATGACGACGAGATCATTGGGGCAAAGGTTCCGTTTGGGGTTGTGTCATTTGACTCGCTGTTGCATGATTGGGAGATATTATTTTCTCCATCTCCTCCAGAAGAGATCTGCGAGGTATTGTGCCTGTCTCCATCTCCTCCGTGAGTACAAGTCCTCCTTGTGAAAGAGTCCAGGTGGCATAATCGGTTTTGACTTTAGCAGAAGGAGGTGATTTGGCGTGAGGGGTTCGAGATCGTTTGGGTCACTTGAAACTGTAGTCAATGGTCTGTCATTCATGATGCTCTCAACTTCGCACAAAGCTGTCTGTAGAGTCTCATCATCTAATCTCTGTTCTTTTAGAACGGAACACAGAATCTTTTTTACAGGTCTGATGAGCCTCTCCCAAACTCCACCATGGTGGGCTCCATATGGCGGATTAAAAGTCCATTTTACTCCGTCCCCGAGTAATGCATTTTGAATCTTGTGTTGATTCAGGTCTTTAAGAGCAGCTCTTTCTGTGCTCCCACAAAGTTTGTGCCGTTGTCGGTCCTGATGCTTGTCGCTTGTCACTTGCCCTCTGCCACATATGAATCTGCGCAAAGCATTGATGCAGGAGTCAGTGTCCAATGAGCTCGAAACTTCCAGATGTATGGCACGACTCACAAGGCAGGTGAAGATCACTCCCCAACGTTTTACATTTGCTCTGCCTCGTTTAACCTCCAGGGGTCCAAAGAAGTCGATACCCACATGAGTAAAGGGTGGTAGATCTGGAGACACCCGATCCTCTGGGAGGTCAGCCATTTTCTGCTCTCCAACTGTGGCTAGCATTCTTCGGCAGAAAACACAGGCTCTGATTATCTTTCTGGCTGCCGAGTTAGCACGAGGCAACCAGAATCTTTGATTTAGTCTTGAGAGCATGTGGCTTCTCCCCGAGTGTCCAATCTGCTGATGGATGTGGCCCAGGATCAGTTTGGATACAGTAGAGTCTTTGGGCAGGATAATGGGGTTCTTCAGATCCATTGGCATTGCTGATTTGCTTATTCGTCCTCCCACTCTTAGCATGCCTTCTACTAAGATTGGGTCCAGCTTCCTGATAGAGCTGCTTGCTCTTACTTGCCTTCTCCAAAAGTGCAAGTTCCTGAGAGAAGTGACGTCTTTGCTCAGAGTGAATTATTGACCTTTCAGCTTCTCTAATGTCCTCCACAGACAGATGTTGTGATCCAAATGTCAACTTTAGCTTGTTCATTTTGTCCTTTAAGGATTTCAAAAGAGTCCAATCTGGGGCAAGGTCAGCTTTTGCAGATTTCCTTCTTTGATTTAGCAGAAGAAGAATTCCCCTTAATTTAAGTATCCAAGCAACCCCTCTCTGCAGTCTGCTCCATGATGATTGTGAAGGACCAGGGTACAGAAAAACAGGAGTGCAGGTTGAGGTGCAAAAATACAGATTTTATTGACCCAATATATGTACAGTTTTAAGATGGGTAATAAAATCAATTAGGTTTAAACAAAAATGTGTAGATATCAACAGACACAATCTAGCATGTAAACGCATAAGCAGAACGTCACAAAAATGGGTGACATCCTGTGTGCTCTTCTGTCCAAGAGCAACTCACATACACACCACCCCCACCCCCTCATCTCCAGACTGCAGGAATTTATAGCACTACTGGTCAGTCCATTATTGCATGCAGGGAAAAGAGGCTCTAAAAAGGGGTGGCCTCTTCAAACACCCCTCAGGGTTTGAGAGGAATGGTGTAGTCCAATTAGCTGACACATCTATAAAGGCAGGTGTTTCCCATCAGCTCAGCCTTTTGCCAGGAGCAAGGTGAGCTGTAAGACACTGACAATAGGATTACACACAACACAAATCACAATAGATATTTTAAACAAGATTGCGTGCACTCAATCTAGCAAAATAAAGCTGTTTTAATCAATGCGTCTGTGTAATGTAAACAAAATCATAACCTTTACGATGTGTGTTCGTTTGTGAGGCTTGTAGCCCTCACAATGATTAATACTCAAACAGTTTGCTGGTTGGGTTGGTTTCGTGGACACTCAAACTGTTAACTGCTACGTCCTTTCTAACCTCTGGGTCCTCTGATGGAATGAGGCCCAGGTTCTTAGGTGTTTTTGGCCAATATTCCTTTTCCAGATACTTCGGTCCTGTTATCCACCTTGATGTCTTTAGAAAGTCTTCTACATGCAGCCCACGGGACGCGTCGTCGGCAGGATTGTCTATGGAGCTCACATGCCTCCACTGCTTCTCCTGAGACAGGTCCTTGATCACTGAAACTCTGTTTGCCACAAATGTGTGATATCGTTTAGTCTGGTTGCTGATGTATCCGAGGACAGAGGTGCTATCTGTCCAGAAGGTTGAGTCGTTGAGGTCCACTTTAAGCTCCCTTTTCAACATCCTGTCCACCTTTACTGCAAGTGTTGCTGCAGTAAGCTCCAATCTGGGAATAGTGATCTGTTTGAGTGGAGTCACTCTGGATTTTCCCAAAATAAATGAAACATGGACCCTTCCCATACTGTTTGTAAAGCGAAGATAGCTGGTGGTGCCGTAACCTTTTTTGCTTGCGTCACAGAAGTGATGAAGCTCTGCAGTCCTGATTGGTCCAAAGTTCTCAGGTTTCATACACCTGTCCACTTGAAATCTGCTAAGCTGTTCCAACTCTGTGATCCATTTCTGCCATTGTTTTGAGTATTCTTCTGGGATGGTTTCATCCCATCCACACTTTATCCTGCATAGCTCTTGGAGGATCTGCCTGGCTTTAAGGATAAATGGGGAGAGGAATCCTAATGGGTCGTAGATGGAACTGACTGTAGAGAGGATCCCTCTCCTGGTAAAAGCTCTGTTTTTGATATTGACTTTGAATATGAAGGAGTCTCTCTGTATCCCATTGGATTCCAAGTGCTCTTTCAATTTCAAAGTCCAGATCCTTGAATAGCTTTGCTCTGTGATGCTCAGGTATACTTGCAAGCACTTCACGGTTGTTACATACCCATTTGGTCAATGAGAAACCTCCTTTGGCGCATGCGTCTCTGAGGTCTCTGATAAGCTTAATAGCTTGTTCAACTGTGGCCACTGATTTGAGGCAATCATCAACGTAAAAGTTGGAATTGATTGTTTCAGTTACCTCTTCGTCGTACTTGAAGCTGTTGTCTTCTG